TGTATACTCCCTGAAAGGGTAACATAATTTCTGTGAAAGAGAATTCCCTACTTTAAGAAGGACAGCTCATAGGCTGATAGGATGAGCTTCTACTTTGCACACGTTGTGCCTTCTGCCTGGAATGCACTTCTTTGCATGTTGGACAGCTTTTCTGCCCCTCTGAATATCACCTCATGATTCTGAATGTCACAAGTGCCCCACAAATGAGGTGACTGGATGATATAGCCTTTGCCTTGGTAATTATTATAATCGATTTTAACAGTCAACCTTTTGTTTATCTCTTTCATTAGAGCCAGTTTCATGACAGTGACACCATCAAGTCTCCAACACGAGGACTAGATTAATGTGACTCTGGTGTCATTTAATCACTTGTGGACTAGGCAGGCACTGGGTCTGAGGCTGATGGTAATTAAATATTATAATAATTATACTTTAAAGAATTTTATCTATCAAATTTGTTTTGTGATGATTTCATATGTGTATATTGTGCATTCTGATTACTCTTGACCCCACCCTTTCTAATTTCCCTCCCACCCCTGCCAACCCCCTTCCCATACAAATCACTTTTCCACATTCATATCCTTTGTTTTGTTTTGTAACCCACTGACTTTAACTAGGGCTGCCTGTGTGACCACAGGTTTGGAACTGTCCACTGGAGCCTGTTTGGCTTATTATCAGGCTTTAATAATAATTCTATCCTAGACACTGTATTACCAATGGCTTGTCTTTCCTTAAAGGACAAGGAGAAGAAGAAAAAATGATACTTAGACTTTTGCTTACCTACTTTCCCCTCTTTGTGTCTCTGTGTTCCCTCCCTCTCCTCTCTCTCTCTCTCTCTCTCTCTCTCTTTCTCTCTCTTTCTCTCTCTTTCTCTCTCTCTCTCCTTGGAGACAGAGACTCACTAGCACAGGCTCTCATGGAACTCACTATGTAGCCCAGTCTGGCCTTGAACTCACAATCCTTCTGCCTCAGTCTTCCAACTGCTGGGATTGCACACCTGGTGTTTTGGTCACTTTGCTTTCAACCTCTGAACTCCCATGAATGAGGAGTCTTGAGATGGTTCAGTGTATCAGTTGGAGACTGGAGGAGATGATTTATGTAAAGACTCATAAAATATATGTTGGCCCTTTCTTCTTTTAGCTCTTCCCTTATCACTGTGAGTTTTTATAAACCACTTGGAAATACATTTTAAGGTCTGCCTGTGTCAGACTCAACTATGATTTATGGTTCTGCTTTTTTATCCACACTTTGAAGAATATTAAAATATCACTGAAGGCCTTATCACCAGCCCATTATTATATTAAAGAGAAGGATATATTAAGAAAGGCAAGGGGCTGCCTGCCTTTAATCCCAGCACTCAGGAGGCAGAGGCAAGTAGATCGCTGTGAGATGGAGGCCAACCTGGGGTGGTCCATGTAGCAAGTTCCAGGCCAGCAGGGGCTAAATAGTAGACCCTGTCTCAAAAAAGAAAGAAAGAAAGAAAGAAAGAAAGAAAGAAAGAAAGAAAGAAAGAAAGAAAGAAAGAAAGAAAGAAAGAAAGAAAGAAAGAAAGAAAGAAAGAAAGAAAGAAAGAAAGAAAGAAAGAAAGAAAGAAAGAAAGAAAGAAAGAAAGAAAGAAAGAAAGAAAGAAAGAAAGAAAGAAAGAAAGAAAGAAAGAAAGAAAGAAAGAAAGAAAGAAAGAAAGAAAGAAAGAAAGAAAGAAAGAAAGAAAGAAAGAAAGAAAGAAAGAAAGAAAGAAAGAAAGAAAGAAAGAAAGAAAGAAAGAAAGAAAGAAAGAAAGAAAGAAAGAAAGAAAGAAAGAAAGAAAGAAAGAAAGAAAGAAAGAAAAAGAAGAGGCAGGCCTGAAGGCCTGAGACTGAAACGGTCTCCAGGAATAGCTCCATGTAAACACATTGGCATTCAAATTTGGGCATTTTTCTGTAATAAAAAGTATCCTAATTAGGTTTTCTTTCCTCTCCTCCTCTTCCTTCCCCCTTTCCTCATCTCCTTCCCTTCGTTCTTCCCCTTGCCTCCTCTCCCCTCTCCTGTCTTTGATGCAGGCTGGCCACAAACTCCTTATGTCACTGAGGATAACCTTGAACTCCTCATTTTCCTGCCTCTGCCTCCCAAGTGCTGGGAGTATGGGAGACTGACACAATACTCTGCCTTTTTTTGGAGACTGTCTCACTCTATAGCTCAGGCTGGCTTAAAATTCACAGCAATTCACAGGCAACCCTGCCTCAGCTTCCTAGGTGCTGAGATAACAGGTGTAAGCTACCATGCCTCAATTAGTTTTTCTATGGAAACTGGAAGGGTTCATGACAAATATTTTTATACTTGAGTTTAAATGCCCATTGAAAATTTGTCTCTAAGAAAAATGACTCAAGATAATTTGGTTTCCTAACCCATTAATTCTTAAGGTTTTGGAAGTGTAATGATCTGGTTTCTGCTTCAAATGATTATGATTTTTTTTGAGACAGGGTCTCCCAGGTGGCCTTGAACTCATGATCCTTCTGTCTTTGTCCCCCGAATCCTCAGATTACAAGTATTCATCACTATGCTCAGCAATGGAAACTCATCTTTAGCAATGGTCTCCTAGTTCATTCTGATGAAGTATTCAGGACATTGCTTTGACAAGCAGTGGCCCAAGCCTTTCTCATTGGGTAGGAGGAGCTTTGGCAGAAGCTAATGATGAGTGACTCTAGGTTAGGATCTGAGCAGAGCACAGTGGAGCACTGGTCATTACACGTGATCAGAGTGAGTCATCTTGGGACTCTAAAGAACAGTGACCCTTAACTCACAGCGATGCTCTGTCCTTGTGATTCCCATCACATTGCAGTAGTCTACTTTTCTTGAAGTCCATACCCTCGTTAGACTGGAGGGCATGGACCATGGCTTCCCTCTCTACTCGTAGGACCTAGTACCATGCTTAGGAAGGGTTGGCTGACAACGTTCAGAGAATAAGAGGCCACAGACTGTTATCCTGAATAAGACACCTATACCAAACTTCTTCCTTCCAAGGCTCAGGGATCTTTGTGGAAGAGGGGGAAGAAAGATTGCAAGAGCCAGAGGTGGTGGATGACCACAAGGAAACAGTTTTCCAGACAGCTGGTCACTTACATATATGAACTCACAGCAATGGTGAAAGCATACACAAGTCCCACGTAAGCTCAAGCCAGACAAAATCCCAGCACAGATAAGGGGAAGTGGGGAAGAAATCCCAACCCTACTTGAGAAACTACTGGCAACTGATGACTGCTGGGAAGGTGAGATTCAATGTCATTTAAGGATGAGACTCTTAGTAGGTTGACCAGGCTCTATTGGATGAACCCACACTGAAGGGCATTTGGGGACACAAACCTGACTCTATAGGCCTTAATATATATAGTATTTATATGTACATAATATATAAATATATGTCTATAAGTATATATTACATATATAGGTATATTACAGTTAAGAAATTTTGTAGGGGGCTAGGAAGGTGGTTTAGAGATGTGGAAGGGGATCTAAATATGATCAAAATATATTGTATGGAATTCACAAAAATTAAAACATTTAAAAAAGGGTTCGCTGAAGATTGAATGTGAAAATGTATGAAGGAATGAACTGGTTGCAGTTATTCACCAATGAGGACATATCTAAAGGCTTCCACTCTAAATATTTGACAAGCAAGAGAGGATGAGATTGACATGGATTGAAGGGGCTTTTAAATGTGGTATTGTTCTTTCCGCTGAAGTTAAATATGGGAGTTGGAGCTGCACTGAGTGACTCCCCAGTGTGGTGCACCTCATAACTACCTAGGGGTCTTACCACTTGCTAACTGGATGCTTTTAAGTGAAAATTAATGCATAGTCTTGGAATACAGTGAAAATTAAGCTGATCTCATGTCGTCCTGTCACACCTCCCCAGGCCTCACCACTGTTTTTCATTTTGGTAACTCTGCAGATATATTTAAAAGCACATGTACCATATGTTGTAAGCCCTATAATTGTATCTTGATTTTTTCCCCTCCCTCCCTCCCTCCCTCCCCAGGGCAAGAGCTCATAAAGTCCAGCCTGGCTTTGAACTCCTGATCCTCTTGCCTCTACCTTCTAAGTTCTCCTTTCACCATAGTCAGGGTCTAACACTATATCTTAGGCTGTCTGGGAATTCCCTAGTAGCCCAGGCTGGCTTCAAACTCATGGCAATCTTCCTTCCTCAGCCTCCCAAGTGCTGGGATTACAAGAGTGAACAGTCATACTGGACTCATTTAAAAAATCTTAAAGATTGTCCCATATTAATACATATAGATCTGTTTCCTTTACTGTAGTGGCCACATGGAATTCCATTCTATGATATCTATGCCTGTCTATATGTATGCATCATGTATGCTTATATATATACATGTAGCTGTGAATGTGTGTAGGAATCATTGCTGTTATAAGCAATGTTTCTATGAAGACCAGTGAATATAACTCTTTAAATATATGAGAAAATGTATATAGGACAATTCCTAGGTCAAAGGGATATACAGTCTGGTACATAGTGAGTTCCAGGACAGCTGGGGTATTACAGGGAGACCCTGTCTCAAAAAGACCAAAAAAAATCTGTAAAATTGTTACCCAAGGAGGCTATATTTATTAAAGTCTACCCTTGGTGTGAATGACAATGCCTGTTTGCCCATATTTAGGACCAGCTTAAGGATCTTCATGGGTTTAAGGCACATGGGAAAGTGAGCTGTTGGCCATATATTCTGTCATTCTGATATGGAATGCCTATGGCTCTGAATTTGGGAGCCAGATGGTTGGTGTGGATTCCCTCATATATACCTGGACCAGATGCCTGATTCTGTGGTCCTGAAGCCCCTTTGCCAGCAATAAACAAGTGACTGAGAAACTGGGTACTAGTCTGGTTTGAAATAATGTTCCAGCACCATTTGCCACAAAGGTCTTGTTTTCACCTTTCTGTGCTTTCCACTTTGGATGCAACTGCTTTCTTTCCTTTGGATGAATCACGCAGGGATACTGTCTTTCCCACAGGTTCATAAAGATGTACTTTAAACATGTCCTCTTTGAAGATACATTCTTTGACAAATGCCATTTTGAAGATGTTACATCTACTGACACTTATTTCAAGAATTGCACCATTGAATCCACCATCTTCTATAACACAGGTAAGTAGACAGACACGCCATGAGTGTGCTGTGCTGCAAGGGTGGCCTGATGACTTAGGGGCCAAAGCACATACCATGAGCTACAGGAGGAGGAAGGGATTTGTAGACACCTATAACCAGCCTTAGCAGGGGAGAAGTTGGTTCCAGCCCCAGGAATGGTGTACATTAGATGCCATTAGTGTATCTGGCATTTGGTTTATCTGTACCTATGTTTTCATCACATATGAAGCAAAAGTTCTGGCCAAGTATCCTCATCAGATTAAGACTGACATTTTACAGGACAAAGTATGACACTCATGAAACCAGCATCCCAGATGGGCTACACTTTTAGCCTGGGATTCATTCTTAAATATTCTGCATAATTTGAAACTTGTACAGTTCAAAACTGCATTTTCATGATAAATGAAAAGGGAATATTACATCTGTTCAGACTTGACCCCAAAAGCAAGATGTTAATAATGTTTTAGAATCATATTATTGCTGATTGCTATGATTAAAAAAAGCACAAAATTTCACTCCTCTACCCCTTCCATTACTGCTACCTTTCACATCATAGATTTAGTAACATCCCAAGTGCGGCTGGGACACAACAAGCTACCTGGGCATTACCAGTTATCAAAAATGCACTATAAACCTCCCCCCACCAAAAAAGAAAAAAGGACAGGTGTGGTGGTGCACGCCTTTAATCCCAGCACTTGGGAGGCCGAGGCAGGTGGGTCTTTTTGAGTTTGAGGCTGGCCTGGTCTACATAGTGAGTTCCAGGACAGCTGGGGCTACACGGAGACCCTGTCTCAAAAGTAGACCCCCCCGCAAATGAGCTATGATTATCCCTACCTTGTACCTGAAGCAACGGACTTGGACAACTTGGTTAAGGCCACAGTTAGCAAGGAGTTAGAATTTGATTCCATCTCAGTTGCTTGGCTCTGAAACCTGTGTACTTTGCACTGAACTGCTTGCTTCATGTCTAGATTTATGTCTTCCCTCTGGGATCAATGCCTAGAGATGGTTCCTGCAATGTCTTCCTTCCTGCTATTGGCCTCAGAAGGTTTGATATCTGGTCTCTAGAACCCCCCCAGTCTTGAATAATCTGTTATGAGATGTACTTTCCTGAATTTCTTCCTAGCTTGGTTTTAAAAAATAATGAGTTCTAGAACTTTACTATTTGTTATTAAAACTGCCATATCTTTTTATTCTTCAAATTTTAATGATGCCTCTCCATTTGCATACTCAACATGGTTTTTTTTTCTCCAAACATTTATCTGTGTAGATGGGTGCTTGTGTGTGTGTGTGTGTGTGTGTGTGTGTGTGTGTGTGGTGGGTGACTGTGTGTGTATGTTGAGACCAGAGGTTGCTGGGTGACTTTTTCATTCATTTCTTCACTGTATGTTTTGAGATAAGGTCTCTCACTAAACATAGAGCTCCCTGATTTGGCTAGACTAGCTAGCCAGTGAGCTCCAGGAATCTTCTGTGTCCTTTCCAAATCTGAGATCTAGGCATGCACTGCTGCATCTGCTTTTTACATGGGTGCTGGGGATCTGAATTCAGCTCCTCATGCTTGCAGGATATTCTAGTTTGCTTTTCAATTGCTGTGACAAAACATTCTGACCAATACTAACTTGGGGAGGTAAAGGTTTATTTAGCTTACATCTCCTGGGTTACAGTTTATCACTGAGGGAGCCCAAGGCAAGCAGGATTTGGAGGCAGGAGCCGAAGCACAGGCCCTGGAGAAATGATACTTAATGGTTTGCTCCTCTGGCCTGTGGCCAGCCTGCGTTCTTATATAATACAGGACAACCTGTTCAGCGGTAGCACCACCCACAGTGGGCTGGGCCCTCCCACATCACTCAACAGTTAAGAAAATGCTCCATAGACATGGTCACAGGCCAGTCCAATGGAAGCAATTCCCCAATTGAGGCTCCCTCTACCCAGGTGTGTCAAGGTGACAACTAAATGTATAGCAAACATAGTAAACAGGTTATCATCTGAGCCATCTGCCCAGCCCTTGTGTGCTTACAGATTTATAGACGGAGGTTAAAGGAGATTTAGGAGCATTCACAAACCTAGGTTTTTCTACTTAGCACTGTTTCTACTAAGACTTGATCTTGGAAAGTGTCAGAAGACATGGGAACTGTTACCACAGTAAATGATTTTACTTTTGAGAAAGTTTAGAGTTTTGAACAGGCTATAGCCTGCGCTCACAATGGACAGCTCAGGTTGGGCCAGTTCTTCTGTGTGCACACTTGTGTCTGTGCATGCCTGTGGAGGCCAAAAGCCAACCTCAGGTGTTATTCCTCAGTGGGTCTCTACCTTGTTTTTTGAGACAGAGTTTCTCACAGGGACCTGGAACTCACCACTTAGTCTAGGCTGGCTGACCAGGGATCCATTTGTCTCTATCTTTCCAGCACTGGGATTACAAGTGTGTATTACCATGCCTGACTTTTTATGTGGATTTTGGGGACCAAACTCAGATCCTCATGCTTGTGAAGCAAGCACTTTACCACTAGGCCATCTCCCCAGCCCCTGACCCTAGTTCATAAGTTCTGATTCTCTAGACTGGATTGCTTCAGGGCAGTGGCCCAGCCACTGTGCCTCTTTGAGTGTCATGTGATTGGTACAGATAGGACTGTTGTCCAGTGGGAATGATGATGTATCAAAAACGTCCCTCAGGGTGTGGAGAGATGGCTTTGTGGATAAAGTGCTTGCCATATAAAGTGTGAGGACTAGAGTTCAGATTCTCAGAATCCAGGTAAAAGCCAGGCAGGTGCAGTGGCTGCCTATCATCCCTGCACTGGGGAGACACAGACGGGACTCTCAGAGCAGGCTGGCTAGCTAGACTAACTGGAATCAGTGACCTCCAGGTTCAGCAAGAAACCCTGAGTCAATAAGTAAAGGATATAATGACTGAGGAAAATACCTAACATCAACTTCAACTACCAGATGCACGCACACACAAGTGCCTACACACATTTGAACACACATACACACACATACCATATGCATCAAAACATGTTCTTCAAATTAATGTTAAATTTCATTTGTCTTTGCTATAGGAACTTGAGCAAGTCATTGTATATTTTGGAAGTATCTCCATTCATTCTTGGCTGCATAGCACTTTGACTTTGATATCTCAGCTTGCCCATAAAAGGGGACATAGCCTCAACTCTGCCCCTGCCCTGCTTTCCTCTGCTCCTGTCCACTCACATGAACCAAAGCTTCTTTCTCCCCCTAGACCTCTACAAGCACAAGTTCATCGACTGCCGCTTTATCAACTCCACTTTTCTGGAGCAGAAGGAGGGCTGTCACATGGACTTTGAGGAAGACAATGACTTTCTGATTTACCTTGTCAGCTTTCTGGGTAGCCTGTCAGTCTTGCCTGGGAACATAATCTCTGCCCTGCTCATGGACAGAATTGGAAGACTCAAGATGATTGGTAAGTTGCTCGTAATGAAGCATCTGGATTCTCCTGGGCCAGGCCAGTGGCTATTACAGTTATTGAAGTGGTGGAATGCTTCTTTTTCTTTAAGAAATCTTGCAGAGGTAATCAATGAGGTAAGCATGGTTCTGCTGTCGTAAACCCAAGGAGGCAAGCTCATAGAAGCCTGGGACTCCACGGAAAGGCTCTGAGAGCACTGAAGGGGCTCTTCATTGTTTCCAGAATATTCTATTAGTACTTCCAGAAGGGTATTGAAGTACATCCACTACACTTCATAAGATTATTGTGAAAATAGATAAAATACTCAAATGATAGTTTGATGATTTAGGGCAAATAATATTATTTCTATTGTTTAATAGCATCTTTCTATTGTGTAATAGTGGGAATGAGAAGGGGATTAGAGAGCATGATGGTTTGAGTGAGGCATGTCCTATAGGCTCATGTATTTGAATACTTGGTTAGTTGGTGGTACCAGTTTGCAGAGGTTTAGGAGGTGTGGCCTTGGGGAGGAACTACATCACTGGGGGTGGGTTTTGAGAGCCTCACCCCACTTCCAGCCTGCTCTTTCTTTGCTTCTTATACATGCTCAAAGATATGAACTCTCAGCTTTGTGCTCCAGCTGCCTCCTGCCATGCCTTCCCTGCATGATGGACTCTCATCCCCCAGGAGCTGTAAGCCCAAATAAACTCTTCCATAGGTTGCCTGGGTCATGGTGTTTTATCACAGCAACAGAAAAGTAACTAATACAGAGAGTATATCAAGGGACATATAATCAAAGCACATCATTCATATACACTGAAAGAATAGGTGAATAATCAAAACTAAAAAGATCTTTTAAATTGAATAAAAATAGTTTGGACTTTGTTGGACAGACTCTTGTTGAAATTCTAACTTCTAATGGTGACTTGATTTTGAACACATTCTTTCTCTGAGGTTTGGTTTCAGCTAGACAACTGGAAAGATTTATAAAGGTTAAATGTAAGATAGCCAAAACATCTTGTAATGGATGGCATTTTTAGGCTCTTAGAAATGGTAGCTGTGTTCACATCTGTCTTGCTTTGTTCCACCAGGACTTACGCCATTTATTACTAAAACACAATGCTGTGCATGGTAAACAGGAAGCACAATGTGTATAATGAGGGCTGGGGTGAGTGTGTGTTAAACATGAGTCAAAGCCAGGGGTGGGAAAGCAGGAGGCACATTAATAAAAAGGCCATTACGGATCTGCCCTCGGGATATTGTTGATAGGAAAAATTAATACCAAGCTTTCCGGTATCGAGGCACAAAGGCAAACAAAATCAATCACATTGTCATTTTATTGGAGAAAAGAAAATGGATCAAATCTTCATAGGAAGGAAATACTGGATATTATTATTATAATTAGGTGCATGCATATTCAAAATGGTGAATACAAGATTGCCTATGGTTTTAGCTTTTTCATCTCACAGGGAGGATGGAAATCATCTTACAGATACGGCAGACTAGGCTGTCTGTTAGGGCAGTTCCCTGGTCAGTTAGAAAGTCTCCTGAGAGAAGGGATAGAGACCTACAGATTTCTGTAACGCCAGTGACCAACAGTGTGCCTCTCATTAAGCTAACGCTTGGCCATCCTGTTGAGCTAACTGGACCTGATGAAGATAGCTCTGATGCTACTTTACTTAGAAGGGCCCAGTTTTCAGCAGTAAGTGCCACAGGGCGGCTTCATGTCAGTCAGACCGTCTTCACTGCCAGAATCACTTTATGAGCATGTACACATGCTTTCACTTCTCTGAGCTTCCGTTTCCTATTAAAACACTACCTCTGTCTGCTCAGATGACATGATCAAGGCAGTCATGGGACACTTCTGCGACTTTGTCCCCAGTCTTCTAAGTCCTGAGTCTAACTGTATGTCACTAGCCCATCTTAAAGTGGCTGGAGAAAGTGTGGGGAAGCAGGACCTGTAGGGTTGGAGTGGCTGTATCTGTATGATCCCCTATATTCCCTCGTGGATGTAGGAGCATGCTGGGCACAGAGGACAGACAGGTGAGGAAGCTAACAGCTTTCTTGCCATTAAAGCCTCTTGTCACCATGAATTCATCCCAGGTCTCAGTTGATTCCCTTCATGCTAAATGAAATTATGTTCCCCAGTTAGATACTCAGACCTACAGTTTAGTCCTTTGTATCTTGCTCTCCTGTCATTTCTTCTGCTTTGTTCTGAGCTAACTTGCAAGTAGAGGCCGGAAAGAAGGCTCAGTGGATACAAGGGTACTCTGCAAGCATTGAGGATCTGAGTTGGAGTCCCCAACACCTACATAAAAAGTTATAGGCATGGCTCTGAGTGCCTATAACTCAAGCATGAGGGAAAGTGGGGGGTGGATCCCAAGAGCTCACTGGCGAGAGAGAGAGAGAAAGAGAGAGAGAGAGAGAGAGAGAGAGAGAGAGAATGAACGAACTCAGGCAGTGCCTGCTCAGCCTCTGTATGCCTCATCTTTAGGGAAAGACCTGGAATCATGGACCAGCTGTGACAATCTCGGTGCACAGACAACAGTAGATGCTCAGTCACTGGCCCTTCCACCATGCCATGATGGATGCAGTGAGCCAAATTGAAGTAGCATTTTCCACACCTTCAGACCAGCCCCACTATGGAGTTGCTGTTGCAGCTTCATCCTGCTCACGTTGTGGGGCTGTTTGGTAGAAGTCATATCATGTTAACAGTAGAGTAGAAGTTTTCCTAATGAGGCTGTTACTCATTTATTCATTCAATAAACATGCATTTTGTAGAGTCCTTACTCTGTGCCAGACTGTGCAGGAAGCAATGGGAATACAACAGTAATTGAGATAGTCAATAGCCCCACATTTAAAGAGTAAACGATAGATTGAGAGACAAAGACATAAGCTAGAGATTTCATTTAACAAACACTGAGACACATTATAGGCCAGGCTGTGTTCCAAGCATTTCATCAACATTAATGCACTGAACCCTCACCACAGCCCCATGAGGTAGGTATTACTTTTATTAAATGTTTACAGATGGGAATGTGAGATAGCACAGAGAGGTTAAGTGAACCACCCAGAATCACACAGGTAGGAAGTGGTAAGGCTTGAATTTGAACTGAGGCTTCTTTAATTACAAGGGGAGTAAAGAGTATTAAAGTGGAAGGGCAGTGGGCCATGTGGCCCTACAACTGAGGTGGTTAACACAGAGTCTAGGAAGGAAGGCTTCCTTGAATATCATGCAATTTACTTGACAATTTTTTTTTTCTTTCCAGCCCCATACTGTTCCCTTTGAGGAGAGCACACATTTAGAATGGATTGTTCTCAGGACTCTTGCGGCCCATAGACACCAGCTGCTTTCCTTCTGTTTCTCTCCTCACTGTTGGAAAGAGCTCCCCAGGCACCTGCTCACCGCCCTGCCTCTTCCTAGAGTCAGCAGCATCCAGCCGGACAGTTATTTCCCCACTCCTCAGCAACATGTACTGCTAGTCTTGCAGCCCCAAGTCTGAGTGTGATTGCAGCCTGAGATCCCCTCAGGAAGGCATTTCTTGTTGGAGTTAGGCCAGCCTTTTAGATGCCTGTCAAGCAGTGTACCCTTCTCTCATTGCGCTAATATTAATGGGAAGCCTGTGTGTTGCTTGCCAGCTGGTTACTGGAGCCTGACTTTTTGCCTTCTCTCTTCTAGCCCTGATTCTACTTCATTTCTAGCTCTATTTCTGGGCTTCAGCCTCTTCTGTCATGGCCTGCACCCACCTGAGGTTCCCAAAGAACCCCCTGAGTAGACTTTCTGGATTTGTACAGAATTTGGTACAGTCTTTTAAAAATGGGATCTCTTATCACTAGCTCTGGCAGCTGAATTCTTCACAGGAGAAAAATTTGCTTCAGGTGTCCTAGTAAGAAGACACTGTTGATGGCACAGCTCTAGAGGTACAAGCAGGGCTGTGAGAACAAATAAGGGAGACAAGACACTCAGGCACTAGCAAAAGTGGGAGGCAGGCACTAGGAAGGAAGATAGCATTCACAGAGCTCAGTGGTCCTGAAATAGTGGAGGGAGAGTCACCTGGAAGGAGCTGTGGTCCTGGAGGGGTATAGCCATTGCCAAAAAGGGGCTTCTAAAACAGGATGGGGGTCTGGAAGCACCTCACCCCTCCTCTTCCCAACTGATAATGGTGCCTGGGGATCAGCTTCCCACAGGGTGCAGCAGGACTGTGAGGGCAGGGATATATCTGGGGTACATATGGGAATATGCTAGCAGATATCTGTTGCTGTGACAAAATACCCAAGACTTTACAAGTAAGGAATGTGTATTTTGACTCCTGGCTTCAGAGATTTCAGTTCACAGACATTTGGCTCCATTGTTTGGGAACCTGTGTTGAGGCAGAGCATCAAGGCAGGAAGTGAGAGACAGAGCAAAGATGCTTACTTCATGGTGGCCTGGAAGCAGAGAGAGCTTGCTTTTATACAAAAGCCCCTCCTCCAGACCCTATTAAGCTATGAGTGTCTGAATGGGTAATCCATTCAGGAGCTCAGACTTATTCTAAAAGCCCCACCTCTGCCTCGGGGCCAAGCTTTCATTCAGTATGTGAGCTTTTAGGGAATATTTAAATCCAAACCAGAACTGGGAGTAAATGAAGAAGTGGCAGAGTAGCCCTTCTAGAGCTTTTTCTATGCAGTCCATTCACAGATGTGTTCACACTGGAATCTAAGCTCCTTAAGAATGGGTTTAAGGGGCTGGAGAGATGGCTCGGTGGTTAAGAGCACTGACTGCTCTTGCAGAGGGCCTGGGTTTGGTTCCCAGCACCCACATGGCAGCTAACAATCATTTGAAGCTCCAGTTTCAGGGGATCTGATGCCTCAGGAAGGCATCTTCTGACCTCAGGAAGTGCATGACACAAGTGCACCTACCCACATGCAGGCAATATAGTCATACACGTAAAATAAAAATAATATTAGAAAGGTGTTTTATAATGTTTTTATATTTCTTTAAATGATATTTACTCTTTCGTTGTGTTTGTAATATATATTCACTTTTCCATGTGCATGTAATTGCATTTAAAATATGAATGTATCTACTTTTTCTGGATGTGCTCTTCCCATGTGGAGATGGGACTAACTCCTCAAGTAGCCTATGAGGCTGGGTGGTGGGCAGCAGGGGACAGACCTGTCAGGATGCTGCCTTCATGTTTCTGTCTATCCTTGGCCTGTCTTCACAGGGGGCTCCATGCTCATCTCTGCAGTCTGCTGCTTCTTCCTGTTCTTTGGCAACAGTGAGTCTGCCATGATCGGCTGGCAATGCCTGTTCTGTGGGACTAGCATTGCAGCCTGGAATGCTCTGGATGTGATCACAGTGGAGCTGTACCCCACCAACCAGAGGTTAGTTCTTCCGTGGGCTTCTCTCTAGGACTCATTGGTGTTTCTTTGGCCAGTATATTGCTTACTGAATCCTGCACCGTGCATGACCTTGGTCTTCTTGGTCTCTCCTGGGCCACTGACTTTCTCTGCAAGATGCTGACAAGGCCTGGGTCTGGGTAGGCTAAGACTTGGAAGGGTGGAGTGAGTGGCAAAAACAAGAGTAAATGGTCCAAGATTGAATGGAGCAGAAGTGAATAATGGGTCAAACCTTGTGTATGCTGCAATCGTTAACACAGTTTAGCCCAGGCCTGTCAACAGGAGCTAAGGGGAAAAGGTGAAGCTTAGAACAATGGGTGGGAGAGAAGCAAAGGTGGACTGAGGCAGGAAGGTCTAGGGCTTCCAGGGCTTTGATTCTGTGCAAGGCATCTTGGAAAAGGCTGAGCTTAAAGGTCAAAGTCATTATCTAGTCTCTGTTTCTCTTCATAGGTGGGGATTGTGAGTTTTAAGTGTAATAATAAATGGTCATAAAGTTTGGAAATGGCATGGAGGATGATATTCCCAAAATTAATGGCAGAGTTCCTAGAATTTGGATGGCTCTGGGATATTACCACATACTATATTTTGAGCTCCCCTGAGCCAAAGAATGTTAAGTTTTACAAATAATGAGGGGAAGAAAATGGTCATTATTGAATGGGATGTGATTTTACATGTAAGAAATTTAGGAGAATGAACCAAAGAGACAGTTAGAGACAATGACATCATTTGGTCAAATGGATGGTAATAAAACGACTTAATAACATGTAAGTGTTCTGCTATATCATAAAAGTTAAAAATGCAATTGAAATACATTTGACAATAACAGAAATCATAAAGTATCTAGAAGTCAACTTGAAACACTCATATGAATGAAACAAACAAAAAAGACATAAAATATATGTCAAGACATAACTTCATTTTGTATAAGATGATTTAATTGTATGAAAATGTCAAATTTTATTTAATTTTTTAAGTGAGATTTTTTACCTCTCTGCAAAGTTGAAAAACAGTATTATAAAAATTGTTTAGAAAATCATACATGTGAAAATATGCAAGAAAACTGTAAATACAAAAAGACTAGAGGTGGAAGGGCAAAGCCACTGTGGTTAAGGTATAGACAGTAATGTGAGATCTTTAAATAGAAAAATTGGCCAATATTCTTGGACTTTTGGTATGATGAAGAACCACTTTACTTCAGCTGGGAGCCATTGTGATGGGAATTCTGTCGTTGTGTATAGATGGGGTCACAGCAGGCTATGGTTATCACTGGGACTGGTGATCCAGGGATAGTAATTGGTATTCTACCATTTCTGCCATGGATGACAGAAATTCCAAATAACTGTGGCCTACAGGCGTCAGGCCTTTGTTTTCCTCTTGCCACATCTACAGCCTGGGGCTTAGGCTCCCTCTTCCTTGGACTCCATCATTGTTTACAATAGACCGGCTCTGTTCTAGGAAGCAAGATAAAGGAGAAAAATATAAAGGAAGGGGAGAGAGAGAGAGAGAGAGAGAGAGAGAGAGAGAGAGAGAGATGGAGAGAGAGAGAGAGAGATCCCAGACTTCTCTCAGGAAATTTTTCAGTAGCTGCCACTTGCACTTCCATTTCCTTGATGGAAACTAAGTCTCAGGGACACAACTAGCAGCAAGGGGCCCTGGGAAATGTAGTCCTATTACATTTGGGACAATGCTATACAGGGACGGCTAGCAGTTTCTGCCACAAGAGGGCGTTATGCTCACACTGTCTGATTTACACGAAGCTTTATTCTTTTGGTGTTTCCTCATAAGCAAGTACTACCTTTAAACAAATAAGAGTTACACTTGAAATTATAAAGAAAAAAGCTTGAAGGCAGTACTCCAAAATGTTAATAAGGGTCATTATTTTAGATATCCCCACATCTTTATATTATTCAGTATTCCCAATACTGACTAAAATGAAGATGTTGTTTTTATATTTAGGGAAAAAAATTACTCCCACACCTCCTTCTCTTGCAATAAGGAAAGAACCCAGCCTCATTAATCTAGTGAGGTTGAAAATTTCAGAATCATTTCCTTTTCTCTTTTTTTACAGGGCCACAGCCTTTGGCATCCTCAATGGATTATGCAAATTCGGTGCCATCCTGGGAAACACTATCTTTGCTTCTTTTGTTGGGATAACCAAAGTGGTCCCCATCCTTCTGGCTGCTGCTTCTCTGGTTGGGGGTGGCCTGATTGCCCTTCGACTGCCGGAGACCCGAGAGCAGGTCCTGATGTGAACAACCTACTGGGATGGAAAGATGGAAAAGATCTTGTTCAGGATACTCCAGTGCAGCCACACCTGCCTCTTGTTGTCCACAGGACACCTTGGACAGTGCAGCTGGAGCGGTTGACTTTGTGATCCCTAGTTTAGGACCCACTTCATCTGTCAATACATTTGTAACTCAGGTGACTGATTTGGGGGTGCCCTGAGCTACCCTTAGGATCCCAGAGCTGTGTGCTTGGCTTCAGGCTTCCCGACCTGAGGCAGTGGGGAGGACCCTCCAGTGATTGTATACACTAAGTGAGGAGTGTGCACTTTCCTAAATGCAGCGCAAGGAATTGCTTGCATTTCAGAATGAATTTGAGGACAAGAAGCATTCAGGCTCTTCCATGTAGCTCCTATGAACCCAGTGACCAAACACATTGACTTGGTTGGAAGTTGGGGTCATCACATGAATACTGGGCCTGAACAACAGTATATATATAAATTTTGAAAGTATCACACCTATTATTTTTTCCATTTGAAAATTGGCACAGTGGTATTGAAGATACTCTGATATATAAAAACCAAATATTTAGGCAAAATCTATATAGACTGGCTTTTCTCCTTAAGTGTCCTCATTTTCCATGATGAAGAAGTGATACATTTAAGAATTATATTTATTCTTCTTTCACTCTAATCAAAGAAACTTAATGATAGGTATTCTGTAAACTAAGTTTGTATATAACTGTTTTGTGATTTTATTTCCATAAATGGTAGCTGCTAATATTGCTAGCATTTTAGCCATATTTGGGGAGGGCTTGGAATTTGAGGTCCCAGGAAACTGGGTGCAGTTGAAAGGCATGCAAGCACAATTTCTTATAGCCATTTAACTTGCTGTAGGGAAGATACACTTAGCAAGCCATACGCAGGTTCCTTCACCCAGGAACTTTTCTCATGTTAGTACAACAGTTCCTTTACTCTCCTACACAGATCTCGTGTGAGGTCCCAGTCAATGGGTTTCAGTATTGGCCATTTGATTTTGCTATTCACTTAAAAACAACAGGAGAAGCCTTCTGTGGCTTCTGGCACTTTCTTTATACAGAATAAAATAACAGAGGAGACTTATGGGATAGGGAAGCCTAACCCTAATTAGTTCTTCAAAGTGTAAGTTCTTCCTCATAGATTTAACAGGAAAACATAATGCACATTCATTTTGATGGTCAAGACCCATGAGACATCTATGCTGTATGTATTGGTTCAGGGCTGTTGAAACAGGCTGTTGGCATGGAAGTTAGAGAATATGATGGGTGTTGAGTATGTCTTTCTTCAGTGATCTAAGAAAGCTCTTTCCAGAAATCCAGTTTGCAACATGAATGTGGAAGTGGATAGGGTGTGGAAGCTGGGACAAACTGCTCTGGCAGGGGTTGGTAATAGTCTGAAGTCTTGACTTCATGGAGAAGAAGCAATATTTTGTCCATCAGGACTCTCCTACAATTCAAGGGGCTGAGAACTGAGTTTCTCCTGTTGGAGTTGGACTTTCCTGGGTCAGATGAACATCAATCTCTAAGATTATTTGTAGCACATGCAGGAGCTGTAAAGTGCTAAACTTTACCTATTTGAAATCCTCTGAACTTTAGGCTGATGGCTACATCAAGTGCTTTCTTGGTTTTGGAGAAATGCTCAGGCAATCTTTTTGTAATTCTCTGGAGTATAGGTCAGCGGGGTAAAGAGTAAATTTTATGAGACCTTCCTATGCGCAATTCTGGCTACAATGTCTGCTGCTCTGCTTCTCTGGTCCCCATGTCTTTATTCATGCCACCTATTTTCTGTGCAGGGAAGGAAGATGCATCAACTTTGGTGTGACATCCTGATTCCCCTGATTATAAATATATAAACATACCACTATGTATTAATGCTTCTCTTGGTGTTTCACAGGCATTAACTAACATAATGCTGTATTGATAATGAGAGACTATGTAATATAGTTGTAACATACTTTCCCATTTTCTTGGGCTGTGGAATGCATCAGCTAGGATCATGAGAGAACTGTATAAACCTGTGATTACCGTATCCCTCATAACATTATTCTTTAATGGGATAGTACAATTCAGCTACCACTTAAGAAATTTATAAGACAGTTAGAGCCTACATTTCCAGCTTGATGGATCTTGCAAATGTAAAATCTGATTAAGTTTTGAGTGTAGGATGGCTGCAATAATTTGCAAGTTAACTCTACTTGTGTTTTAAGTGCTGACTTCTGTATTACCTTATGGCTCTTTAAACCAACAACCTAACCAACCAAGGGAAATTCCCATTTCATTCATCACACGGACTATGTCAAGGATGCAGCCATGGTCCGCAACCTCTCTCATGAAGGATTATCTGGCCCTGGTACCTGGCCACTTTGTAACTGCTGCCACTCCTGCTGAGATAAAATTTGGCTTTAAAAATAGGCTCTAAAGCAGCTCACTGGGAGATAATGTACAACATTCCTAGCCATCCATTTCTTTTCATTTCTTTTTCTGTCCTGAGACACATCCAGTGACATCCATAGAGGGCTACAGGGCAGAAACATTCTCTCACTGAGCGAATCTGCTCACAGTTCATGATGTATTTTATGATGCCCAGTTTGGAAGTAGTTACTTTCAATAGTCTCTACTATGTTGTGTTATCTCTTGATCTTTTTGATAATTTGTGTTATCTCTTGATTACTTTTGATCTTTTGTTTTATTAAAAGTAATTAGTGGATGAGACATCGTATTTCTGAAGTTTGTAGTACATTGACTTGAAGTCATGTAAAAAAACCTCCATTTCTAGGATTCTCTGGCACCTTATATTAGTTCATGATGAAAACAATAAAAAATAACTGTAAGTGAATCTTTAAGAACTGAGGTTAGAGATTATTTTCAGGCACCAACATCTCTTCTGCATTTCTAAGTCGATGGAATCATCTTACAACCTAGTTTTTTTCATATGGGACTTTGAGTGCTTGACTGATGTAACCCAGACCACGTGTAGTACTAGGACTGGGCAGCAAAGCCTAGGGCGATGTTCTCTCTGTATTTCTGGACTAACCCTTCGGTTTCCGATACCGAAGTACTTCTGAACCCTCCATAAAGTCTTTGTGGAATGGGACAACGTAACCAGTGCTTGCATTCCATTCTCTGGACCCATTCATTGAAGATTCATTTGGTGTTTGTTTTTTTTTTTTCTTGAATGAATGGAAGGATCACTAAAAACCCCAAAAGATTCCTTCCTTCTTCCATTCAGCAAGTCCTTATGGAGCCCACACTGCAAGTGGGGCAAACCTGGTCACAGTTCTTGCTCCATCTTGTCCCACCTGCAGCCAGTAGGCAAGGTAGGTATTCAATTGGTCCTAATACAAAGTGCAACAACCTTACCATTGGCAGAAAACTCTTGCTTGTTAAGAGGTTCGGAGCACTCTACCAGCCAGAAAACACAGAAAGTTTAGCAGGAACAGCCAGGCTATAACCCCTAAAGGCTGACACTGCAACTCATTTCCTTCAGCTGGGTCCTGTCTCCTAAAGGTCTCACAACATCCTGAAATGGCACTATCAGTTAAGTCCAAGTATCCAAACACACGAGCCTGTGGGGGACTTAATGAAAGGACAGTGGCCAAGATATGAATGAGACATTAGAGTGGCAAGGCTCCCAGCAGCCTTGGGAAAAGTGTTTCATCTTCTCTCTCTGATTTTCTACCTGGTATCTGTGTTAACTGAGTGAATTCTGATGCAATGTTTGGGATTTAGTGAAGACTGGGTGAGATGGCTTTTAACTCCAAGCTTGGGTATTATACTGAGTTTATAAGTTACTAGTTTATTTCTCTCTTGCATGAGGGCAATCTGGTGCAAAGACAGCCATGCTGGTGAAGCTCTTTGTGATATGGTCCTTGGGAACACTCTCCCTCTGCCTTCAGATTCCAGTGTGCAGTCTTCAACACTGAAGCTGCCTCACAGACTGAGATGCCTGGTGGAGTGCCTGTCCTCACATTCACAATCCAGACAGAAAACAGACGAAACAGTAAAGAATAAAGGGTCTATACCTTCTTCTAGCTGAGGCAGACTCCTTTAAAACTCTTCCTCTAGAAGCCCCTCCCAGCTGCTTCCACATGAACATCATTGACCTCCCTTTGCTGCAGGGGATGCTGGGAAATGTGTTTATTGGGCACATGACCATCACTTCTTCAAATTAAGAATCTTGGTACTAAGAGGAAACAGGTGAATGAATCAATATTTAATTTTCTTATTCATCAGAATCAGCTGGGAGGAGGCTGGGAAAATTGCTCTGTCAGTAAAGTGCTTGCTATGTAAGAATGAGGCCCGAGTTTCATCCATAGAACCTATATAAATAAGGCCTGTAATCCAAGTACTGGGGAGATGGAGACAGGAGGATTCTCGTGGCTCTATTGTCAGCCAGCCTAGCCTATGTGGGAAGTTCCAGGCCAATAAGAGACTCTGCCTCAAAAAAGTGGATAATACCTAAGAAATAATACCAGACATTGCCATCTGACATCTACACACATGTGCACACACATATATGTACATCATACACCTCCCTCCTCCACATCATCTGGAAAGGTGTTGATGGGTTTTGTCCATCCCTAGACAGTCTGATTAAGTAAGTGTGGGGTGGTGTCTGAGAGTTTGCAATTTTGGGGGGTCTTTTTGAGACAGAGTCTCCCTGTAGCCCCAGCTGGCCTGGTACTCGCTATGTAGAGAAGGCTGGCCTTGATCTAACCTCCCTCTGCCTCCAGAGTGCTGGGACTAAAGGCATGTGCCACTATGCCTGGCTCATTTTTAGAAAAGTCTATGTGATGTGATTTGTATTGGTCCTAGAACAATATTGGAAGCAGCACTCACAATGTGTCCATAGGTAGGTACTTTGATTTGTTGGGGGTAAGTTCTAAGTTATTGTCCCTATAACTTAAAATCAGCTTAGCCAAAAACTTGTGAAAGCCTGTGGAAAACAATCACATCTTCCTAGAGTTCAAAGGTCTTGACTAGTGGCAGACATCAGTAATTCAAAAGTGTCAATGGTGAGTTTTCTATCCTTAGAGATGGCTTTCCTCAGGCTATGAACTTCGGGCCATGTCTGGTGGCTTTGCTTTGCCTCTTCCCCAGGATTGACAGAAGTTTCTTTTCACCTGGGGTTGCTGATGTCTGCTTTGACTATTTCCACTTGGTATGTTTGTGGTGGCTGTGTTATAGATATTTGCAAACAAATATGTCTGTGGCATATTGTGATCCCCAAGACTCTTGAATGACAGTTTGATCCTGAAAGAGCTCTCCTACATAGAGACACACAAAATGATCAGGATGTAGCTAGATTGACCTTGGTCTGCTGACCATAAACTGACCTTGCTTACAAATGCTCTTGGAAGAGATGAGGTGCTTTTTCCTTTAGAATAGAGGCAGGGTCGGGTACATCCCTCCATGTAGACCTCATTTCACATGGATTTACAGAACAGTTACCCTGTTCCTGTGCTATGTCAGGTACATGTTTCTATAAGGATTTTCTCCATTTAAAATATTGTGCTACCGTGAGTAGCCCTGTCATCTTTAGACATCACCCTGAGAACAGTTTGAAAATCAATCACACAGAGCCTTTGAATTCAAGCAAGCTTAAAGCACATTTTGTTTAATTTGCAGAGCCACGGTGAAGAATTTATATGCATAGCTTTTGTGTGGCAGTGAGGCTTCCCAAAAGATTAATGATGGGATGAAACACAGACTCTAGCTAGATGTTAAGTGGGAAAAATAGAAGTTGTTAGTCATTGCTGGTTACAGACTGGGCAAGGGATTTATTCAGCAGCCCTAACCCCATGAATGGAGAGGGGAGACTCACTGCCATCTATTTTAGACATACATTTAGCTGACTACTTACCTTTGGTCCCATTAGCTTTAGCTGCTTTAAAATTTTAGAATTCACAAAGATGTATTAAGATGTCTTCTCCCAAAGTTAATGTGGTTACCACATTTGATAATTTCACTTAGGTAGGGAGGGTCATTGAATTACAACTGCTGTCACTCAGGAGAGGAAGTCCTTCAAAAATGACAGCCTGGTTCTTCACTTCTAACATACAAGTATAAACTCAGGAGTTCAGATTTCTCAGGATCAGAATTTGTGATTTCAGGAGAGTCCCAGTAAAAGGCCAAGGAAACAGCTTTCCATTGTGTCGCAAAAGGAAGAAAAAGATAAATATGGGAGGTTAAATAGCTTGAGTTAGCCCCTTGGTAGTGTTCACCTATGAATGTAGTTAACCAAGGAGGGAGATGAAAAATGGGTGTTAGCTGATTTTGAAGTTGTTTTTAAAAATATTTTATTTATTATTTTTATTTTGTGTGTATGATGTGTAAGTGCACCTTTGTTGTGCAATGCCTGTGCAGAGGCCAGAAGAGGATGTTGGATCCCCTGGAACTGGAGTTGCAGATGGTTGTTAGTCACTATGTGGATGCTAGGAATTGAACCCTGGTCTTCTGGAAGAGCAGAAAGTATTACTAACTGCTGAGCCATCTTTCCAGCCCCTGATTTTGAAGTTGTGCAAATATAGTAACCTGTGATTACACAAAATAAAATGGGTGCAGAGGCACTAGGCGATATGATCATAGGGGAACATAGACATATACATAGCTCAGCTTTATGCAGCACAGAACTACATATCAAAATAGGTTGCATGCCATAAATATATGTAACTTTGAATTGTCAGCTTAAAAACGAATAAAATGGCTTTCCAAGAAAATTATATATCACAAAAGAGTAGCTTAAAAATATGTAGAAAAAGCTGGTAAGCAACTGATCAACAGACTGAAAATGAGCCTCCTTTTCAAAAACACTTTGGAGAATTACTAAGTAATTTCTACTGACTGCTGGAATGCTGGAATGGTAAACTACATTTCATTAATTAAAAATTTTATTTTATTATTTTTATTTTATGTGTATGAATATATTACCTGCATGTAGGTAGGAGTACCAGTGTTGTGCAGTGCCTGCAGAAGTCAGAAGAGGGCATCAAATCCCCTGGAACTGGAGTTACAGAGCCACTATGTGGGTCCTGGGAGTCGAACCAGGGTCCTCTGTAAGAGCAACCAGTGATCTTAACTGCTGAGCCACCTCTTGAACCTCATTAAGTTGTTGTTGTTGGTGTGTGTGTGTGTGTGTGTGTGTGTGTGTGTGTGTGTGTACTAATGGTTTTAAGAAGGATCACTTTAAAAACCTATAATCTATACATTTTTCAGTAAAAATCTCAAGTTCAAGATCAAAATTTGCCAAGAATTTTGGTAAGTATATTGCTAAGCCATGGTCAATGAGCCAAATGAGCACCAGGTTGTCTCTGAGAGCGAACAGTGATCTTAACTGCTGAGCCACCTCTTGAGCCTCATTAAGTTGTTGTTTTTGGTGTGTGTGTGTGTGTGTGTGTGTGTGTGTGTGTGTGTGTGTGTACTAATGGTTTTAAGAAGGATCACTTTAAAAACCTATAATCTATACATTTTACAGTAAAAATCTCAAGTTCAAGATCAAAATTTGCCAAGAATTTTGGTAAGTATATTGCTAAGCCATGGTCAATGAGCCAGAAGGAAGATATTTTATAGGTAACTCTGAATTTATGGATGTTTACGCAGTAGGAGTAGTAAATGATTTTGAAAGGAAGCCCAATATTTTAAAATTGCATTTTGGGGAACTACAGTGGAGGTATTTGGAACATATAAAAACAGGAAAAAGATCTCATAGAACAGAAACATAGACACATAGACAGACAGACAGACAGACACACTATTTTTTGCTTAATATACATGTTATAGATTAGTCAGTTTGGACTGAGGCTATTTTTACAAAGGGATAAAATATAAAAAGATATTTTAAAATTTGAAATATTTATCAAATAGTTCTATGCAAATTTTCCAATTTTGCCACATTTCAAAGGGGTCAAACATTGAAATAGGTGATAACAGAATTTCGGGTTCAGAATAGAGCTATTTAAGTTTATTTTGGTTCATGAGATTTGGTCTTAGCATTTTGGCCCATATGAATCCTGGATGTCTCCAACCCTAACAGAATGTCTTTATGTGTTGTTACAACTTCTGTTTTTTGGTGGATTAAATATATAAGAAAAACAGGTTAAGGT